AGATATATTACTTATTCATATTGAAATTGTTTCAATAAAATATATTACTTATCTTGAACGCCTGCGTTTGACAAATGACGCATTGGAAAATTTAAATTATATCGTAAACATTATTAAAAAACAAATGAATGTACATAAACCATCTATATATACATACTAGCGGACCCGACAGACGTTGTCCTGTCTACACGTCTTTAATTTGAATAAATTAATATGAAGTTAATATTTGATGAAAATTGTGAATCTAAACCATTCCCAGATCCCCTTGAACACACACCAAAAAATTTCATCTAAATCGGTCCATTCGTTTGACAGAAGTTCAGTGACATACACACTCACAGAAGAATTATATATATATAAAGATAAATAAAATTGAAGTATGTGATATCGTAAAAAAACATTTTGGAAACACTATGAATTTAAAATTTCTGTCTGTCTGTCTGCAAATCCGCATTTATTACGGATTATCTACGACACGGCTGGGTTGATTTTGACAGTACTTTAACAGGAAGATGTTGCGGAAATATTATAGGCAAACATTAATTTGAATCGACAAAAAGTTGCAAGATGGCTTTATCCTATATATAAAATACTCGTGTCACAATTTTCGTTCCCATACTTCTTCGAAACGGCTTGACCGATTCTCATGAAACTTTGTGAGCATATTGAGTAGGTCTGAGAATCGGCCAACATCTATTCTAATACCGCGCGGACGGAGTCGCGGGCGACAGCTAGTAATCGTATAAGAAAACCTCAAATAAGAGAAAAGTGTACACTAACTGCCAACCTTGTTCTGCTTATAATCAGAGTGGTACTTAAAGAAGAAAACAAGTGAAGGTTTATATTTATTACAAAACTTGATTTCCACGTAGTTTTTTATCTTACTAATATGCGAAAGTTTAGTTGAATATATGGTTATTTGTTTAAAGGTATATCGGGAACGGTACAACGTATCTTAATAACATTTGGCACAGATGTAAAACATAGTCTGGAAGAACACATTTTCTACTTATTACGCTTTTTTTAATTCCGCACGGAAGGAGTCGCGGGCAACAGCTACTATTGAATACACGAGATTTAAAATATTCCTACAAAATTACTTTCTTATCGTAATTTGATAGCATCCAATTCACGTGAGCACAATCATTATATTAACATTAACATAAATATTTATACAAAAAACAACGTACGTTAATAAAAAAGAACGTAAGCAAAACATTATTAAATTGCATTTTAATACTTCTTCTAATTAAGAATATGATTCTGGAAAATTCTAATAGTTCAAACAGCAATAAAAGGAATATTAGAGCAAGAATTAACTGATGTCCTGTCACTTTACTGCAGTGATTCTCAAAGTTTTCCAGTGATTCTCAAAGTGGTCCAGTGATTCTCAAAGTGGTCTATTCTTGGGGTCTACGGAACACCACGCGGGACGTCGCCCGCGACTACGTCCGCATGGAATTAAAAAGAAACGTAATTAGTAGCCAATGTGTTCTACAATGTTGTACGTAGTACTTATTGGTTCTTCCAGACTATTTTTACATCTATGACAAATTTCTTCAAGATCCGTTAAGCCGTTTCAGAGATACCTTCTAACAAACATCCATCCAAACATTCACATTTACGATATTAGTAAGATTAGATGCTAAGACAGCTTGTCGCCAAATATAATATTTTGTTGGTGCCAAGTATAAGAGTAAAGCGATTTAAATTTTTTAATGCATATAGAAAAAATATTACTCTGAAAAGAAAGAGATAACTATATGTTTTGTTTAAATGCTTCGCCAATGGAAACAACCACGAAATCTTGTGCGAACGTCCCCTGGTAACATTTCCCAGTAATTACAGTTTCTTGCCCCATAAAGGTTCGTTGCCTACGTGACGGGCTGCACGTCGCCATGTACCGTTAGCAAAGAAATTTAATTGCGAACATCAAAAGTTATGGTGTGTTACTTGAAGAAGATTAACATCGTAAAGAAAGACGCTGTTATAAGTAAATTCTATACGCAAAAGAGTCTTGACAGACAGACAGACGGACAACCAAGTGATCTCGTGTTCCATTTTCTTCTTAACGGTATACGGTACCCTCACAAGCTAAAAACCGAATAAGTTTTATTATTACGTATTTAAAACTGCAAAGAAAACCTACTTAATTGATGATAAAATTACAAAAAAAAAAAACTTTGACATTTACAGATCCATCAGACATCCAACCCACATTTTGTATGTTCGTAACTCTTTTTTTTCTTTAACTCTTATACTATTTTCTTCTCTTTTATTTAAGCTACATAATTGCGATACGTTGTTATAATAGCACTATTTTCTTTATTTGTTTTCTGTTGTAATTAATATGAAAGCTACCTACGTATTTATACCAAAAAAGGTTGTTTAAAAGATAATTTTTTCACTCAGTACTCAATTGCATATGCATACAAAGCGCATATGGCAGGAAGCAGCCCTCTAGTGACGCACGATCCCGACATGTTACTGTATTTGTATTACCTAAACAAACATCGTATTGTAAACTTAACTTACCGTGGGTTTCTGACAACAAAATCTCTGTATATCGTCATCCCTGTCCTTTGACAAAACAGATTACATTTATTTTAACGATTTTGGACTCAGAAACTCACAGTTAGAGAAGTAACCAGAAATGTGAGCAAACATCCATCCATCCAAACTAGATATAACACCATACATATTAATGTCACAAAGAAGTGACATTTTCATCATCGTCATCAGCTCACTGTACGTCTCTACCTCGGGGCTCGGAGTCTACCCTAAGTTAGGGGTGACTAGGCCATAGTCAACCACGCTGACCAAGTAACCCGCACTTGTTGACTTCACACATATCTTTGAATTTCTTCTCAGATATGTGCATCACGATGTTTTCCTTCACCGTAAGAAGATCGGATAAATGTACATAAAATATGTAAATCAGAAATCGAAAAACACACTGTTACATGGCGGGATTCGAACCCTGGACCGTGTAGATTACAAGTCAAGTGCTGAAACCACTGAACCACCCACGCTGTATAACATGCAATGAATAAAAGACATGTCTTTGTTTGCTTTGTTACATTTACCATTGAGTAAAGAGGCCAAGGGCTTTTAAGTTTCTATATGACTCACAAATTGTAACCGATATCGTCCACTATTTCAACATAGTTTCATTTTGTATTACAAACTACTATGGCTACTTATCAACGATACTTCGTACTTGTGGTAATAATATTGGATCTAATATTGATTTAAGCATCCCAATAAATTGCCCACAGCTGTACATACGGTACAGTTTGTTTCAGTTCCCGATATATCTACACTAATAATCTCACTCTTTTACAATGTCCTAGTCGCCCGTGACTCCGCCCGCGCGGATAAAATTTTTTTGATAAATAGCTTATGTGTTCTTCCAGACTATGTTCTACATGTGTGCCAAATTTAATTAAAATCCGTTCAGCCGTTCTGGAGATACCATCAAACAAACATCCATCTATCCATCATCGTAATTATAAAAATTAAACAAGACATAAGGATGTTAAGTGTGTATTTAATTGCAGCTTTGGAACATTAGCAGACGTAATACTGAATCGTTAACTCAAATGATATTATGTACAAGGCTTAAATCTCACTAATCTTACTAATATTATAAATGCGAATGTTTAGATGGATGGATAGATGCTGTTTGAAGGTATCTCCAAAACGGCTGCATCTCGCTGACATTTGGCACAGATATAGAACGTAGTCTAGAAGAACACATAGACTGAAACGCGGGCAACAGTTAGTAAATAAATAAATAAGAAAAACCAAAGGACATACATGTATTTGAACTTGAGTTGTACTTGAGAAGAAACATTTCGTAAGTCTGAAGTGGATCATCGACCCACAAGATTCTGTGAAGTGCGCCCTCTACCGGCATTTATTGTAATTTTGGTCGCAATCATAAATCAAAATATATTATACTATAATCAAAAGAAATTAATTACATACCAAAAGTATTGGTAACGTTAGATTGGCTTCTTAATATGCATCAATAACTTATAATTATTAAGAGACGGCTTGTCGGATACAATAAAAACGTCTACCGGGGTTTTGAGATCTAGCATCCAGTTTAGATCTGTTGGTTATTAGTAGAACAAACTACAATATCTATATTTTTGTACTCAGATACTATTAATTAAAAAAAATGGGAATAAACACAGGACACTAAGCTACTAAGCTGTTGGAATCACGTCAGTTAACGACAAGTATTAAAGAGTAAAAAGTAGTAATCAATTCTCGTCTCCAACGTTTTGTGTTGACGAGGCCCTTGTCAGAAAGTAGGTCTGTTACGAAAGACACCGCTTGGGAAAATTACCGACACGAATGGCATTTTGAAACGAATTGTGTCTGATAATGATTACTTTATAAGACAGATTTGTGCGCTTTGGAAAGTCATATTAAATCTAAAGTAAAGCGTTTTGTAAATGATAGTAGTCGACGTTTGAAGACTTATCAATTTCACATTCCGAGAGCACCAACGTCTTAACTCTGTCAAAGTAGAACGGAACGGAACCCAACGGAACCGAATTAAACGGAAAGGAACGAAACGGAACGAAACGGAGCAGAGAACAATAGAATATCCTTTTATTGCCATACAAAAGTACATAAACAGATGTCGGATATCAAAGGGCTAAAGACACTTCCGCTTCCTCTAAGATCGGAGCCTAATAATCAAAGGTCATACACGTAATCGACTCGTAAGGTAATCGTAACCAATCGTAACCTCCCTTTTTAATAACGACAATTTTGATTTCATTTTTATAAGTCGGAAATGAGAATTAAATATGCATAAAAAGCTTGTCTAATTTTATTTGCTCCACTACTTCCTTTTTGAAAGTTGTACAAAACAAATTATACGACATCTAGTGACAAATAGAAAAACTACAAAATACTAAATAGTTTTAAAAGTTCACCACTAGATGACGCTATTATAAATTAAAATTCTAGTTTTCACTTACCTAATATAGCTCTCAAATGTCCTTCCAAGGTGTGCAGCACCGTCATTTTGATCTCCTTAACCGTCTTGCCGAGGAACTGCTCGCAGGCAGTGGTGAGCAACTCGTCTTCGTTCATTATCTTGCACTGCGCCACCCCGGTGACAGTCAGTGGTACACCTTGAGCCGTTTCCACGTACTCGCACATGGGATTCAGGGTCATAACCTAACAGAAATTACAGAAGAACATAATAATGAAGACTTTACATCCTTTCGATGGAGTAAGTGTACCATACTTCTAGGTTCTTATAGGATGACTTTGCTGTCCGTCTGTCTGTCAAGACCCTTTTACTCAAAACGCGTGAAGGTGAACTGGAACGTGAAGGTATAAAAACCCACTGTCAGCATGTGAAGTTGAAACGTAACGTAAAATTAGGTTAGGTGCAATGTTTTTCATTGGAAACGTTCACTTGTGACAAATAGTAGTCAAGGTCCGGAATAGTCTTCTGTCGGACGAAGCTTACCTCTAGGGAAATTCGTTGTACATCTGTAACTAGCCACCAGGCCCAGGCATAGCCACCCACGATGGTACGCTTCTGAGTTGAACCGAAACAGCTACCTGAGAACAACAAAAACCATTACATTTATATATTGAATTGTGGCAAGCGAGTGAATGCGACTGAAAGCCGACTGAATTGCAGATGCGCGGTCTACCTTTAATCGATGGAGGAGGACACACAGAAATAGAATATTTCCCTTTAATATGCGTCATCTCCATCAAATCATCCCTTTTCCATCCTCTACTCGTACGAAAGGGATGAAAAGGGTAAGCGGATTAAAATTAAAATTAGATAACCTACATAAACTTCTTAAATAAGTTAAATAAATCTCATCAACCTGCCCTTATTGAGGGTCGGCATAGTATGTACACCTCCATACATCTCTATCAGCCGTCATATCCAAATCTACCCCCTTCCTACGCATATCCTCTTTCACGCAATCATTCCATACATTTTTAAGTAAAATAAAACTATTCTTTAAATTGCAAATATAATCATTTGAAAGAAACTATTGATTGCCAAAAGAAAACTTCACTTACGTTATTACATAAGCCTTGTATTAATAACTTGTATAGAATGAAATTTGAAACCAACTAGACAAACCACTGCGTTGACGTCATATTACAAGGAAATATGTACATTTCCTACACAGTTTTGTTATTATACTTTAGACCATATTTAACACATTTAATAAAAAAGAAATCTATTCTTTGTATCAAATTAGACTACGATTTGAATAAAAGAAGATATCTAGAAGAGATGTAATTTGACTAATATTATATTATAATATAAATGCGAAATTTTGATGGATGGTTGTTTGTTCGAAGGTGTCTCCAGAACGACTACACAGATCTCGCTGAAATTTAGTATAGATGTAGGACATAGTCTAGAACAGTCTTTCCCAAAGTGGGCGATAACGCCCCCTTGTGGGCGAGAAAGAAAATGGGGCGTTGTGTAGAGGCCTGGGGGGTGATTTGTAATTTTATTTAGCTAGGAGGCCTCTTAGACAACGACTGCATAAGCTCTCGACTCTCAACAACAATAATTAATTAATTTAATTTGAAGTTACAGTGGTTATTAAACATGTGAATTTATGGGGGAATATTATTTTAATATATCTAAAAAAATATTTATTCTCAAAGTGGGCAGTAGACAAAATAACTTAGGGAACCACTGGTCTAGAAGAACACATGGGCTACTAATTTTTTAAATGACGATAAGGATACAAATATGCTTGTCGCAAATATTCGTGTCCACTGGCTATAAGAGTCCTCGTACTTATGTCGTAACTATTATGATTTATATGATAACATGAATACAAACAAGACAAGTGAAAGTGCACGTAGTGCATTTAGTAACGTTGCCATGAGACGACTTTAAGCCGATCCCGCAAAAGTTGCTCTTTGTACACACAAAAATGGCTTATACGGAAGAAATATTTTCTTACTAGGTGTAACCAGTGACTCCGTAAGCACGGAATTAAAAAATTAATAGCTCTTGTGTTCTTTCAAACTATGTTCTATATCTATGCCTAATTTCATCAAGATCCGTTGAGTCGTCCTGGAGGTAACTTCTAACAAAATTCCATTCATCCAACAAAACAAATTATACATTTATATATAATAAAAGAAAGTCGTGTTACTTAAACTATTTATAACTCAAGAACGGCTTTACCGATATGGATATGAAGATATCTCTGGAACGGCTAAACGGATCTCGATTAAATTTGGCATACGTATAGACTAAGTTTTATATATATCCACGTGGACGGAGTCGCGGGCGACAGCTACTTTATAATATAAGTAAGAAGAATAGTATCAAATTTTGGCGTAAATTACGCTCGATAGGGCACTGTACATTTTCTTAATATAAATTTTATCGATGACGATACGATGAGTCGGAAACTTTTTTTACTCTATTTTTACTTTCTCTCGAAATTACTTTAAAAAAAAATTGCCAAACACAACTAACTTTCTTCTTAAGTATGTTTCCATTAAAATATTCGAAACAACATTATTGAAATGCAAATAAACTATAACAAATAATTACCAGTCCACAGTCACTCATGTTTAAAAAAGACGACTATATTAAGGTGAGTTTCCACTGAACCAACACCTACACAAGAAAGAAATTGTCCTTTCTTTCATTCTCTTTCAAAAAATTAAAATAGCAACACGTCTTTGTTCAGATGTTAAATCTTTTCATAACCATTCTTATTTAGTAGATGTTTAATTATTTTCTTTGATAAATAAGCTACTATTCAGGGTGCAATTAGTAATTAACAGTCTATGTATATTTTTAAATTAAAAAAAACTCTCGTAAGTTTAAAAGAACATATACTAAGGTTCTGACATTTATCTAGTTCAAAACATTTCCATAACCTGTGTCAAAAGGAGGTTAAAATGACGCATAAAACATTCCTGACCTCCGTCACGCACTAAGGCCCAAAGAAAGGATCCTCCCACCATTTCTCCGACTACCAACGTAGTCGGAATCAGTCTGTCGTAGAAAGTGGTCGTTGACAAAACTATTCACAAACCAAGTGAGTTCAGTTTAATTCTAGAATGTACCGTGTCTTTGAACATTGTCGTGTTTAAAAAAAATTGTAGACGGCATGAGAAGTGTTACTGTTACTGTATAGATTAAGATCAGCAGTGAAAGTGTTAACAATGTCATAGTCATCATTATGAGAGTGCTTACTTGGAAATTATTGTCAAGAGTTTTTGTTTTATTATGTGAAGTTTTATATATTTAAAGGTAAATTTCTTTTCTATTTACTATTATATTCTTGTAAATATAAAATGCATCCTATCTTTTTATAAATGCGAATATTTAGATAGATGATGTTTCTTTGAAGGTATCTCGAGAATGGCTGCATAGATCTCAGTGAAAGCCGTAAAAAAGAAAACATAGGCTACTAATAATGTTTTTTTAATCCCGCGCAGACGAAGTCACGGTCGACAACTAGTATTAGACATAATATTAAAATGTCATCATACTAAATACCCAAATAGTCTAAATTCTGATTTCCTAGTCAGATCATATTTGATCCTCCAAACATACATACGTACAAAAGAAGCAATATTAAAAAAAACAAACAATACTAATTACGAAACAAAATGGTCATTAAAGCACAGATCTGTATATTTAATATGAGATCTACACTAAGCGACATTTTAAGTGTCCGTTAAACTATGTAGTACTGTTAATTGTTTTTGAACTTAAATATCTGAAATAAGGTATAAAATCGATTACAACATAAATATTTTAATTAAAGTTTCGTTTAACGTTATAGCAGTATGATTCAACGTTATATAACACTAGTTATTTTCACCGGAACCGTTTAATATTCTGGATCGTACACGGACACTGTAAGATATTGTGATATGTAGTTAAGCGAGTTTACTTTCTATCAAGTATTATTTATGAAATTGTTGAAAATGAAACAAAAATAAGCCTTCGTCGTCAGCACATATGTACCCAATGATGAGCTCGCAGCCTACCCAAAGTTAGGACTGGGTATACTAAGCCAAAGTCAACACTAGTCCACTGCGTGTTGACTTCACACATATCTTTGATTTTCTTCGTAGATGATGTGCCGTTTGCATCATCCTTTACGCTAATAACATTGAAAATGTACATATGAAATTCGAATATAGAAAAATACACTGGTACACAATGATCGAACTTTCGTACAGATTTTCACACAACTTTCAAGTCCTATGGCTTATGTTTTGTACAAATATTTAGTAATGAATCACACCCTTATAAGAAAGGAAATCACAATAACATAAAGCGTAACAATGACAGCGGAGAAAAACAATAACCTAGTTTAAAACATTTCTAACCGTGGGTTTCTGAGGCCAAAAAACACCGAGACCAAAAACACATCGTTACAGAGATTTTACTCTCGGAAACTCACGGTAATTAACATTAAAGATTTATGCGCTACTGAAAGTCGACTATAATATTTTCTTAAACGTATTCTTTGTTCCTAAAAATGTTTTTTAGCTTGTTATCAAACCAAGTGTATGAAAATCCTTCCACAAGTAGGTCGGACCGTTATGTCAACGTGTTTCGTCGCCCCAAAGAATAGTTAGCGGTGAAGTTCACTACAGCATTATATTGCGAAAGACATACTAAAATGTATTCTTAATTACGTATATCAAAATGTTATTTAGCTGTCGATTTTTTCATAGTTACCGCTCGGAATTCCTCTATAAAGTGATACAAAATATATTCTTATTTACAATGTAAGATGAAGATATTGTAAACCATTGTTCTCGTTTAATATGTAGTCAAGTGGACTTACCCTAATTTACTATTCGACCTATTTTGACGAAATGCATGTACAAAAATTTCTATCTCAGTTTTTTTAGAAAGTAAAAGTGTCGTGAGACATTTTTAATAATACTGTGGTGAAGTATAGGTTATTATGAAATGAAACACATTCAATATCGGCTGGCGAGATCACTTTCATTTAAAATTCGTAGTGGCACGTATTAACATGAGTTGTTAAACATGTTTCAGAGTCAAGATGAGTGCAATAATGAACGCGGCCGCTGATGTGATCACCGGCTCGGCCATCGCCGCCGCGGGAACTGAGGTAAATTATACATCACTAATAGATCTTAACATATTCATATTGAATATACTTTTAGACATTATTAATTAGAATCCTTTGGCGAGAATAACGCGCTTTCATTACAATGTCAAGAGCCAGAATGAATAGTGAGGGGATATAAATGTCGACATTTTAGTAAGGCTAGTGTTGTGCCGGCACTATCGCATTTTCTTCCTAACAATACATACTAGAATAATGTCTCAACCACTGCGTGATAAGTGTGCGTCCCGAAGGCCTAATTTAGTCCTCTTTCCCTTCCCACCCTTTTTCTTATAAAAAAAAGGTTGGGAGGTGAAAGTGGACTTTCCGGTTGAGAGGATGCATGGGAAGGGAAAATATTTTCTTTCTGTGCATCCTTTCCTACGTCGATTAAAGGTAGGCAACGTATATGCAATTGCGTATGCCTATGGGCAACGGTCACTTCGCTATTTTCGCGATTTCAGGTGGGCATTCGCTCGTTTGTCACCTTATATATTACCTGATATAAAAAAAAACAATAAGTCGTATCAAAATTACATAAGAAATTCATTAGTGTATCATAATTAATCTGTACGAAGTGGATTCCTTTAGCGACCATTAAATGAACTTGATAGAAGTAAATAACGTCACAAGAGGTATAAGAGCCACTGTTTAATCAAACCAAAGACCGTGAAATAAATCATCATAACGTTATCTTCCAGGTGGCGTGGTTCATTCCTATGCTGGTGGCTGCAGTCGCATACTACCAATACGACCAGACAGACCCGGAAGGCAGACCTGCGGACGTGACTAGCGATCACCTGCTGCCAGAATATGACTTCGTTATCGTGGGAGCGGGTTCTGCCGGTCAGTAAGTATTTTATACCATAAATAACTAGGAATATCTTAGTATGTTCCATACTAATATTTTTTTGTATGAAAATGAATTAATCAGACTAGTTGGTAGTTAAATTAATTAGAGATGCATTCTAGAACTGGACATACCTAGGATTATAAGACTAAAATCAAGAAACACAGTCCATATAGTAAATGTTTCAATCCTCACAAACGATAAATATACGAATATTATTTCTGTATATTACAGGTGCTGTAGTCGCAAACAGACTTTCCGAGATCGGTCACTGGAAAGTTCTTCTTTTAGAAGCCGGTGGAGATGAGACAGAAATATCGGATGTACCGCTTCTGGCGGGATATTTGCAACTTAGTAAATTAGATTGGAAGTATAAGACTGAACCACAAGGAACGTCTTGTTTAGGTAAGTGTATGAGAAATGTAATCATTTCATATGTTTTCCATCATTAACCTTCTTTTCTTTATTTTATATTCCGATTTATTACAGCGATGGAGGGTGGAAGATGCAACTGGCCGCGAGGAAAAGTCCTCGGAGGCAGTTCTGTACTAAACTATATGTTGTATTTACGAGGAAATCGAAAGGACTATGATAACTGGGAGGCAATGGGAAACAAAGGTTGGAGCTATAAGGACGTATTATACTACTTTAAAAAATCTGAAGATAATCAAAATCCTTATTTGGCTCAAACACCTTATCATAGTAGAGGAGGATATTTAACAGTTGCCGAGGCCCCGTATCACACGCCGCTAGTATCCAGCTTCATAGAAGGTGGTTTAGAGATGGGATATTTAAATAGGGACATCAACGGTGAGAATCAAACGGGCTTTATGGTTGCCCAAGGAACAGTTCGTCGCGGCAGTCGATGCTCTACAGCAAAGGCTTTTCTCAGACCTGCAAAAGACCGCAACAATTTACATATCGCCATGCATTCTTTTGTCACTAAGGTACTTATAGATCCAAGAACTAAGATAGCTTTTGGTGTAGAATTTGTTCGTAATAAAATGTTACATCGCGTCAGAGCTCGCAAGGAAGTCATTCTATCAGCTGGAACGATAAATTCTGCACAATTACTGATGCTGTCTGGCATTGGTCCAGCGGAAGAATTAACAAAACATCGCATTCCTGTAATACAAAACCTGAGAGTTGGGAGAAATCTTCAAGACCATATTGGTGCAGGCGGTTTGACATTTATGGTGAATAAGAAGATATCTATAGTGGAACACCGTCTACACACAGTCAGTACATTAATGGAATACGCAGTCTTAGGTAAAGGACCCTTGACTATTATGGGTGGTGTGGAGGGATTAGCTTTTGTGAATACAAAATATGCAAACGCGTCAGACGATTTTCCAGATATAGAATTTCATTTCATATCCGGTTCCACAAATTCAGACGGCGGGGAACAACTACGTAAAGTTCACGGCCTCACTGATGAATTCTATGATGCTGTGTTCCGCCCCATAAACAACATGGACGTATGGAGCATAATTCCAATGCTGCTACGACCGAAAAGTAAAGGTTTCATACAACTTAGAAGCTCGAGTCCATACGACTATCCCTATATATACCCGAACTATTTGACTGACGAAGAAGATGTTAAAAGATTGATAGAGGGTGTAAAGATTGCTGTCGACTTATCGCGAACCAAAGCTTTTCAAAGACATGGATCCGTATTAAATAAACACGTGTTCCCTGCATGCGCGAAAATACAGAGATATACTGATGATTATTGGGAATGTATGATCAGACAATATACCTGTACAATATACCATCCAGTAGGAACTGCTAAAATGGGACCGTTTTGGGACCCTGAAGCAGTTGTTGATAACGAATTAAGAGTGTACGGGTTAAAAGGCTTACGCGTTATAGATGGCAGTGTAATGCCATCACTAGTTAGCGGCAATACTAATGCTCCGATTATCATGATTGGCGAGAAAGGCAGTGATATGATAAAACAGTTTTGGCTGCGAAGAAGAATATCAAGATATTACGCCTGATTGTAAATTTACAAAAGAAATATTCAACAGTATTATGTTATTTATTAATGTAAATAATTTATTATAATAGCTTAAGCTAAATCTAAGTAAATATGTATAGTTCATTTGAGACGTCAAGTTAATTAGTATATTTTTATGTTTCTTTAAATAAAAGGTTTTACCTTTAATGGTCATTTTTAATATGTTTACAGCCACATGTGCAATACCTTTAAAAGTAAATCGAATTAGTATTCAATTAATAACAATAGCGTAGACTAATGCAAAATAGAGAAGTCAATGTTTAAATAACTGCAAATGTAGATACATTAAATTAAACTAATACTCTTATTCGTAATTCTGAGTGAAACTGCTGCTAACTTAAATACTCTGTGCATTTTATTTCTTCGAATTAAACTAACTATTCTTTCGGAAACGGAAACGATATTTGGTATTCAAATAATGAGCCATTTTAAAGCAATCCATAAAAATATTTAATTGAGTAATGTTGAAAATTACGTCAAAAATAATAAACCATAGACGACATTTTAAATGGTTTGATATAAAAATTAAATGCATTACTCTGTGCAATTGGAGGTATTACTTGACCCGAAGCAAACAATAACTTGCTACACCGTAGAAATCTGCTGAATCAAATGTCATTCAATACATAAGAAATGTAAAACGATTCATTTGGTTGTAGATTCGTTTGGAAACATGTCAACTCACACTCAGTATTCGATAAAAACAGCGGTGTCTAGTACTAGAATCTTATTTGGTCTTCTACCTGGTCTAGGAGCCCTGATATTACTTCGAATGGCTATACACTTATACAGACCAGATATAGAAGACGCAGAACATCGAGTCAGAGACTATCCATTCGAAAATCTTTACGATTGTTACGACTTTATTATAGTTGGTGCTGGTTCCGCGGGTGCAGTGCTTGCAAATCGACTATCAGAAAATCCGAATTGGAATATACTTCTACTTGAAGCAGGGCAGGATGAAAACGTGTTAGCTGATATTCCAGTATTATTCCCAGCTTTACAAACATCAGCCATCGATTGGCAGTTTGTGACAGAACCAAGTGATGAATATTGTTTAAGTATGGTTGATACAAGGTGCAAATGGCCGAGAGGGAGAGTGCTTGGTGGTTCCAGTACTCTAAATGCAATGCTGTATATAAGAGGTAACAAACGCGACTACGACAATTGGGCAAATATGGGCAACATCGGCTGGTCTTACGATGAAATTATAAAATATTTCGTTAAATCTGAAGACATGAGGATACCTGAATACCAAAATAATCCATATCATGGTGTAGGTGGACCAATATCGATAGAACATTTTGCATACGAACAACCTATTACTGGGAAAATATTAGAAGCTTCCCAGCAATTAGGATACAAAATAATTGATGCTAATGGACCATCTCAAACCGGTTTTACTCGTTCCCATGCAACGTTACGTGACGGTCTTAGATGTAGCACGGCAAAAGGATACTTAAGACCTGTTTCTAAAAGACCTAACCTTCATATTAGTGTTCATTCTTTAGTGGAAAAAATACTTATCGACGAAAACAGAAGAGCATATGGTGTAAAATTTGTGAAGCGCGAACAAACGAAATTAATCAAAGCAAGCCGTGAGGTAATCCTATCAGCTGGCTCAATTCAATCCCCACAACTGTTGATGTTGTCTGGGATCGGGGATAGTGAACATTTGAAAGAGGTCGGTATTTATCCGATTGTTAATCTACCAGGTGTCGGTAAAAATCTACAAGATCATGTCGCGATGGGAGGTCATTCTTTTTTATTCGACAATCCTTACAATAACGGTACAGATTACTGCTTTAATTTAAATTCTGTTTGGTCTCTTGGCAATCTTATCGATTTTGCAATAAACAAAAAAGGTTCTTTATATAGCATGATGGAAGCAGAAGCAATGGCATTTGTTAACACTAAGTACCAAGATCCTGTAGAAGACTATCCTGATATTCAACTGTTTATAGCCCCCACATCAGATAATATGGACGGTGGACTATTTGGTAAAAGAGCTAATGGATTGACAGATGAAACATACGCAGAACTATACGAGGATATTTTGTTTGAACCGTCCTTCTCTATAGTTCCATTGTTACTAAGACCTAAAAGTAGAGGCTATATAAAATTAAAGGACGGAAATCCTTTCTCTCCGCCACGGATATACGCGAACTATTTCGAGGATCCACAAGATTTAAAAATATTGGTATGTAGTAAATACTCGATTCCTGTATAAAATACGCATTGTGGTATAGTATCTATCATTTTCATTTTATTCAGTGGGTGCATTGAATTAGTAATTTAACAGTGTTGCGTAATTAAAAAAATACCTTGATTGAACCAAGTTACAAACGGAATATTAATTAACAATCGTATAAAATTCATCCGTTATAATTTGTAAATTATTGCTATTACAGATAGAAGGCGCTCGGATAGTTCAGGCGTTAGTGCAACAGCCGGCGCTACAAGCACTCAACGCGCGGCCCAACCCACACCGGAACCCGGGTTGTACCCAGCACGAGCTAATGTCAGACGAGCATTTGGAATGCCAAGCACGTCACCATTCGCTCACCATCTACCATCCGGTAGGCACATGTGCGATGGGCAGCATTGACAACCCTAACGCAGTCGTTGATCCAAGATTACGTGTAAGTTTTGTTTCATTTTAATCTCATCATACACGGCATAAAACACCACATTTATCCATATTTAAGAAATTGTTTTACCATTACGTTATATCATTATGTTATATCATTGGAAATTTAATGGTACAGGTATAGCGTTGTAGGTTAAACAACGGTTAAAATAAAGGAACGGTAAAGGATAATATTTATAAATTTCAGGTTTACGGAGTCAAAGGATTAAGAGTAATCGACGGCAGTATCATGCCTACAATTGTCAGCGGCAATACGAACGCTCCAATTATTATGATCGGAGAAAAGGCAGCAGATATGATTAAAGAAGACTGGATGCAAGGTGGCATTGACATTATACAATGTGACCGTAAATATAAACAAAACGAAGAGGCACTAGAAGCAGATTCACCTAATAGAATTAGACTATCCCAACTGGGTGCTCCAGATATTCTTAATGAAACAGCTAGCTTATTCCCGGAACTGTCTAAAGGTTTTCTTCCCACAACAAACAAGAGAAGATCAAATACAACTCTCTTAACTTCTTTAGACAACAATAGAAAAAAAACATCACTTCCCAATTCATATAATCCCATTGATCACTACCATAGTTCTGACGTGTTAAACACTTATGATGAAGATCGCAAAAATCCAAAAATTTTGCAATCGTATTCCAATAAAATCCCGCAATATTCTTTTAAATCAAATCCATTTGGAAACACAAATATAATGAAAAATTCAATGCCAGTTTATTCTTCTATAAATCCATTTACGGAACTAACAGAACGCGATAAAGTCCGTCCATTTTACGCAAGAAAACCTTATTATAAACATAAACACCAATCAAATAACCATAAATCATTCTCCAATATATGGAAGCCTCAAAATGTTCAAAATAGACCGAATGAAAGTAAAAAGAAAATATATTTCAAAACTGAAGAGGTGATATCACCTAAAGGACGTAAAGAATGTAAAATTTGGTTGTATTATGATGGAATGAAATATAAAGTAACAATATAAACTTGTATTAGGAACCGAATTTTATAATTAAATATAATTATTTAACATACCATAAAGATTTCACCTTATTTGATAAGTCTTTGCATCAAAACCTAACGTGAAGAAACTAATCAATCTGTCTTCTTACTAATATTATAATGCGAATGTTTGGATAGATGGAAGGATGTTTGTTAGAAGGTATCTCCAGAATGGCTACATGAATTTCGCTGTAATTTGGCATAGATGTAAAATATAGAAGAACACATAGGCTACTAATAATGTTTTTTTGATTCCTCGCGGACGGAGTCGCGGGCGACAGCTAGTAGACGATAAAGCCTGTGATTTATGGTATTTTAATTTTGTAGTAAATATTTAACTTATGTAATCCTTTACGTTAATGCATCTGCAGATACTATAACGTTGCTGATGATAATTTTGTTTTTCACGCTGCTTGTTTATCCCATTGAATTGAACCAAATGTTAGAAGCTTGAATTTTCTTGAGTGTACTTAAGTAAGGACAGCAAACAGAATTGCACGTAGCTTATAGTTTAAATTTACTACTTATATATATACTTAAAGTTACTAGACAGTTTTTTTTGGATATTAATTTATGTCTAGTTTAAATAGAATAATTGCTTTAATAGGCTGATATAGAGTTATAAATCAACAAGGATGAAATGTCAATTTAATAATTAAGTTAGGTATTTAATGCAACGCTGAATCTTTTAATCATTTACCATTACATGACTTTTAAATGCGGTGCAATTTACCCTATTTTATATTAAGATCAACAGAACACGACAAGACCATAAGCATATTAGAATCGTGAGTATTTTTATATGTTTTCTTGTTTTTCTTATTGATTTACTTTGATCTCCTGTTTTGAGCTTATACAATTTATTTCGTAACTACTTTTATTATTTCATATATATATTTTGACTTTTGTTGGAACAGCAAAGTTACAGAGTTACAAATGTGTATGGATTTATTTGTGACAGGTTTGTCATCATGTGGGCTTGTGACCCAGCTTTAGTCTCAGAAGTGGTGAACAGTTACCGAGCAGTCGGACCCGTATTTTTTCAGACTCTGCAGAGTTTACTAGTGGCACAATGTGCATTGGTGGGGGACCATGTATGGCCTCCTGATGCTGTGGATGCGGTCCTTAATGGTGATTAACTATGGTTTAAGTTTCACTCTAATCGCCAGCTGTTATCTAGTAATTGTGTCGTTGAATTCAAATTTTAACAACTCAGATCCCAACTACGACTTCATAGTGGTGGGAGCCGGCTCCGCAGGCGCAGTGGTCGCTAATCGGCTCAGTGAGATATCGGATTGGAAAGTATTACTAGTCGAAGCTGGTGGTGATCCCAATTTGGCCACAGAGGTATTGTTTAATATTATACTAGGTAAATTGTAGTTCACACAAATATTTAACTTTTATTATTAAATGTCACGTTATTTCACCACTTTTCCTAAATGTGTAAGAAGACTTTCCATACTTAACTCACGCTATCCTAATTTAATGAAACTAACAGTACAATAAATTTATCCTTTTCAGATTCCGGCAGCTATATGCAATAACATCAATAGCGTTGCGGATTGGGCCTACAAACCGCAGCCTCAAGAATTAGCCTGCAGAGGATATAAACAAAATCGCTGCGCGTGGCCTCGCGGGAAGACTTTAGGAGGTAGCAGTAGTATCAATGCTATGTACTACGTCAGAGGAAATAAATTAGATTACGATGAATGGGCTGCTAATGGTAACACAGGTTGGAGTTATGAAGAAGTGTTACCGTATTTTATTAAAAGTGAAAACATTTCGACAACTTTAACCGATGAAAATAAAAAGTATCATGGAAAGGGTGGCTATTTACACGTAAATAGAAATGAATTTAGGCATCCAATAGAAGAAATGATATTAAGCGGTATGAATGAAATTGGCGTAAACGAAATAGATGACTCAAACGGCGCAAATCAAATGGGTGCCTCCATAGCATATAATACTATCAAAGATGGCATACGACATAGTACAGCGAGGGCATTTTTAAGTGTTATTAAAGATAGACGAAATTTACATGTACTCAAAGATGCCTATGTTACAAAAATCCTGTTTCATCCTAACACAAATAAAATGAAAGGAGTATTAATACAAAAAGATGGAAAAGAAATACAAGTCATTGCAAAGAAAGAGTTGATAATATCAGCTGGATCTATTAACACACCACAACTACTTATGTTATCAGGAATTGGTCCAAGAAAACATTTAGAAAGTTTGGATATTGAAGCAATAGCAGATCTACCGGTTGGTGAAAATTTACAAGATCACGTATTTTTCCCTATTTATTACAGTTCTCCAACAAACCTAATTCTTACGTCATTTGATAATATTGGAACAGGATTTTTAGATTATATGTTTACTAATAAAGGAATGTTAGCTGATACTACACCTAGCAGAGTAATCGCTTTTGTCAACGCCTCTGATCAAGATGCTATAACTCCTGAAGTGCAATATCATTTTCCAGTTTATACACCTCGATTAATAAATTTCTTTGACATCTACGGTTCACATGGTTTTAAAGATAACATCCAGAAATCGTTTCAAGACATAAATGAAAGTAAATTTATAGTAGCTATTTTAAACACATTGTTAAAGCCAAAATCAAAGGGTACAATATTGCTTAAGAGTAAAAATCCAAATGAACATCCTCTTATATTTGCTAATTATTTTCAAGAGCCTAAAGACCTTGAAGTTTTAATACAGAATGCAAAGAAATTCAGCTTAACATTAGAGAACACGAAAGCTTTCAAGTCTGGCAATTACAGTTTAGAATGGCTGGATGTAGAAGAATGCAGAAAATTTGACAAGGCATCAGATGAATTTTTAGAGTGTTACGCTAGGGAAGTAACATTTTCTTTGTATCATCCAGTTGGAACAGCTAAAATGGGACCTGATGGTGACGAGACAGCAGTCGTAGATCCTGAACTGAGACTTCGGAAAGTAGAGGGCATCAGAGTAATAGATGCAAGTATCATGCCAACTATTGTCAGTGGTAACACTAACGCGCCTACTATTATGATAGGTGAGAAGGGAGCATCCATGATAAAGACTTTTTGGTTGAAGAATAAATAACACCAATATTACTAGATTTTAGACTTCGTTATTTATTAAAACATTATGATCTTTAGAAGCCCGACAGAAAAACTGCTGGGGGAAGATAATATGAAAAGTCGAATATTACGCAGACGTATTCTATTATGGCGAGTAAAAACACAAAGTATGAAGTGTACTATAATATTTTACATTAAACATTAGAGATCAAGTATTTTAAGCAGCTAATAAAAGTAAAATGAGCCAAGGAAAATGTTTTATTATCCTTTTTTTTATTCTACTATCAGTTTTTAGATATGATGTGAATCATGTCGTGTTTAACCTTGAATTAAAAACTAAAGAGTCTGTATATTATTATTTATAGTTAAAAGTTAATCCTCTCTTGTTAATACCTTCGTAATCAAATAAACTCATCCTTGAACGACTGAGATCATCGAGGTTGAAGTCGCACAGCGTTGAATCTGTTTACATCAAATTAAAAAATTCCGTGGCTTCATTTAAAAAAATTCTATGATATCCAACAGTTCTGCATAACACAAATATGCTTTTCTAATAGCAGCAATTAATTTATTATTAGCATCAATGTTATATAGATTCAAATATGCGGGATCTGTGTCAGTATCTTTCGCTTGATATAATGATGGGTCTTCACTATCGTACCATCTGTATAACAATATGTGCATCTCTATAGTTTTTCTCGGAAATAAAGGAATAACGATTATGTTCCAATACAAATGGCACATCATTTTAAATTAGCCGTAAGAAGAACAGCGACTCTCATCAAAACAACAACTAAACATCGACAGGTGCGTTATATGCTTTAATATAAATTACGTTCTTTTTTTAAAAAGAATCAAAGTCAGCCAGTTACATTTATAAAAATGATGTATGAGAAAATTGTTGGTCTCAAAAAGTCCCAAAATCAGGTAAGCATATTTAATTCTGTCACAATAACCACTTTAGCATTACAAATGGCACGTTATTAACGGAGTAATATTTCGATTATTACTCAATATCCAAATAAATATATTCGTTATCAGGATGTAATCTAGAATGAAATTGCCATTCATAGTATATGATTATGGCAAATTGTTTAGAAGATGCCATGAGCAGAAACAATAAGCGAAACTAAACAATTTTACTCGCGAGTCAGTCGCACTCGTTGTAACGTGAAGGATCCGACTGAAAAGAGACCAGACATATGTCTATCTCTCTTGCCAATTCTTCGAAGCCGGGCGGGTCACTAGACTCAAATAAAACAATTTGTCTGAAATGACTATTACAAAGATAAAAGAATTACAGATATCAAATGTTATTTAAATAATGAATCCTGATAACGTGATAATATTTTATGCACCACTGATATCTCAGATAAAGCATCATTTAGTAGTTTTGAAGGGCAATGCAATGTAGTTTATATAATATCAGTCAAACCAAGGTAAGAATGTCATAACCTGATAAAGTCAGCACCGGTGAGTATTTTCATAACTTTCTCTTTTATTTTAAATCGAAATAAATGTCTGAGAAGACCCGTGACACCGCCCCTATGGCATATCGGTATAGGCAAAAGGTTAACACGCAGTACTAAACTTGTCGTCCAAATCAATGTCAACGTTGTGGTGAGACGGAGCGGTGCCGTGCGGACAGCTAGACAACACAAAAATATAATATAATATACCATTTAAAGTTTAATTTAATTGTATGTTGTGACAGATTTTATCAGCATGTGGGAATGCGACCCGATCTTATCCTCAGGAGTAGCGAACAGCTACCATTCAACCGGGCCCCTGTTCGTGCATACATTGCAAAGTTTGCTGGCGGCGCAGTGTGCTTTGTCAGGAGATTATCTATGGCCTTCTGATAGAACGGAAGCTGTTTTTAATGGTACATTCTTGATTTATACTTTAGTGTGTACGGGCGAATATTAGATATAAAACAAAGAGAACCGGTATTAAGACAAGACAGATCAACAAGAACCGAAATTATCTTATTAGCTTTATAATTTAATGGCTAATGACGCTTAAATTTAGTTAGTATCTTTGCACTTTAGTAGCTACAAAAATCACTATTCTGCCGTCTTCATTGTAGACATCCGCAATCTTATTCAGATTGTCATCAATTTTATGAACGCCTACTTACGCGTTGTTCTGTGCGTGTTTATTACGAATCAATTCTTTTGACACTATTTACATGTGTTCTTAGAGTAATACTTGCGTGTATAGCATCTTTTTAATCTTCTCATTGTATATTTGATTAACACAGATCCTCACTACGACTTCATAGTGGTGGGTGCGGGTTCTGCAGGCGCGGTAGTTGCCAATCGGCTCAGTGAAATACCAGAATGGAAGATATTACTAATTGAAGCGGGTGGTAACCCCAACATGGCCACAGAGGTATAATATTTTAAATATACACGCCGATTACTTTGATTTTTCATCAACATTTGTATTGTTAAAAACGAAATTAAATATAAAAAATCTTCAGAAGAATATTGGCAATTCTGTACATTTAGACATTATTGATTCGAAAATTTGCTGACATCATAATTCATTTACTTACTTCATTTGTAATTAAGCATAGAATAAAACTTTATGATTTTTTAGACGCCGTCGGGTTTTTACAATAACATAAATACTTATGTGGATTGGGCCTATAAACCACAACCACAAGAATTAGCATGCAGAGGATATAAAAATAAACGTTGCGCCTGGCCTCGCGGAAAAGCTTTAGGAGGTAGCAGCAGCATCAACGCTATGTACTACGTCAGAGGAAATAAATTAGATTACGATGAATGGGCAGCTAATGGCAACACAGGTTGGAGTTATGAAGAAGTGTTACCGTATTTTATTAAAAGTGAAAACATATCGACAGTTTTAACCGAAGAAAATAAGAAGTATCATGGAAAAGATGGCTATCTACACGTAAATAGGAATGAATTAACGCAACCAGTAGAAGAAATGATATTAAGTGGTATGAGTGAAATTGGTGTAAACGAAATAGATGACGCAAATGGTGCAAATCAAATGGGAGCCACAGTATCATATAATACTATCAAAGATGGCATACGACATAGTACGGCGAGGGCATTTTTAAGTGTTATTAAAGATAGACCAAATTTACATGTACTCAAAGACGCCTATGTTACAAAAATCCTGTTTCATACTAACACAAATAAAATGAAAGGAGTATTAATACAAAAAGATGGAAAAGAAATACAAGTCATTGCAAAGAAAGAGTTGATAGTATCAGCTGGATCTATTAACACACCACAACTACTTATGTTATCAGGAATTGGTCCAAGAAAACATTTAGAAAGTTTGGATATTGAAGTAATAGCTGATCTACCGGTTGGTGAGAATTTACAAGATCATGCATTTTTCCCAATTATTTACAGTTCAGCAACTAATGAAAGCCTTATGACGTTTTCTGCTATAGGCAGTAACTTTTTAGAATACATGTTTACTCATACAGGCAAGTTTTCGGATATCGCACCTAGCAGAGTGATAGCTTTTGTCAATGCCTCGGATCCAGATGCAGTAAGTCCTGAAGTACAATATCATTTTAGTGTCTATTCTCCACAAGTGAGCAATTATATCGACCTGTACGGTTTACATGGCTTTAAAGAGGAGATATCGCAAAAGTTTAAAGATGTAAATAACAACACATATATAGTTTATATATCAAACATATTGTTAAAGCCTAAGTCAAGGGGGAAGATATTACTTAAGAGTAAAAATCCAAATGAACATCCTCTTATATTTGCTAATTATTTCCAAGAACCCGAAGACTTACAAGTTCTGTTAAAGAATGCAAGGAAGTTCAGCTTAATTTTAGAAAATACTGCAGCGTTTAAATCTGGCAATTTTATACTAGATTGGATGGATTTAGAAGCGTGTAGAAATTTTGACAAGGCATCAGATGAATTCTTAGAGTGTCACGCTAGGGAAGTAACATTTTCCTTGTACCATCCAGTTGGAACAGCTAAAATGGGACCTGATGGCGATGAGACAGCAGTCGTAGATCCTGAACTGAGACTTCGGAAAGTAGAGGGCATCAGAGTAATAGATGCAAGTATCATGCCAACTATTGTCAGTGGTAACACTAACGCGCCCACTATTATGATAGGTGAGAAGGGGGCATCAATGATAAAGGAGTTTTGGTTGAAGAACAAATAATTTAGAACAACATAAAAAATCTTCTACATATTGGAAGCAATAGTAAATTTAAAAATATATGACTAATTGACTATTACAAAGTAGTACAACTACAACACAATTTCAAATCATGTAATATAAAGTTATGCAATAATAATTAACTACAATAAAATAAGATTATTTTATTTTATAGAATAAAATATAAAAAATGTTGCCATCTAAATACAATTTTATAATATTTTTAAAATGTCTTTTTTGTTATTATTAGGTGATCTGTACAGTGCTAAGAAAAAGTGGCAGAGCCTGCAACAACAGTGCTGGTTACCGCAATAACAATATTTGTTGGGTACACAAATAGATCGGGTTGACCGGTGAAATACTACGACCACACAGAAGATAGTCGCGAAGCTTTTCCGCGTTGTTCTGATAAATTTGTGCCGAAAGCCAAATTGTTATCCTCTTTCCCTTCCACTTATGCTTATAAAACAAGAGTATGAATAGGAAGTTGATTTCCTAAATGAAGACACACATTTGAAGAAGAAAATACCATTTCTCCTGCCCTGGAAAATCCTATCTTCTGTAGATTAAATGTGGCAATTGGAATGGGCAGTCACTTTAATATTTAAGAAACTCAGCTGCTTGCTTATTTGCTACCCTATACTTGAAAAAAAACAGTTATGAACGGTAAAAAAACTCAAGAGTTTCACTTGTAGTCAGTCCGCGCGTGTAAGTTCTGACGAGCGCAGTGTTCTTGTTACGTGCTATAATAAAACTGATTTCTATTAAATAACAATACATGACAAATTTATAGTTCAAAATTAAAATTAATATCAAACAATTATTTAAAATATTACTAATACAGAAACTGTCTCTTTATCATATGTGTTGATATTGGTAAGATAAAATACTTAAATATTTCGCTTGCACTAATTATATAATAGAGCGGTCACTTCGTCTTTTATAATCTCACAAGCTGTCCTTTGTCCGCGCGGAACTAAAAAAATGTTTTAATAGTCTATGCGTTCTACTCGCCTATGTTCTACATCTATGCCATTTCAGCCAGATCCATGCATCCGTTCTGGATTTACCTTCTAAAAACATCTATCCATCCATCCAAATATTCGCATTTACAATATTAGTAAAATTTGTTTTTTTTATAATCTGGCTGTGAATTGTGAACCGAGCCACTCACAATGTAAGAGATATTTTTGGACAAGCCAGATGCAAGTTATATTCAAATTGAATTCATCATTCACAAGCGATCGCTGACTTTGAATGCATCTGAGGAGTTTTATAATAAGAGAAAGCAAGTAAATATACCTATACGTTTAAATAGATGTATGAGATTCGAGATAAGATTTCGAATCTTACGTTGGTTGCAATAAAAAACCATCAAAGCTTAAAAAAACAGCAGACGATCCAAGTCATGACTTCAATTTTAAATACATAAACATCATGACTTTGCAAAAAATCCCAGCTATTGCAACTAATAAAAAGGTACCACAGAGGTTTTAATATTCATTAAAACCTCTGTGGTATCAATTATTTAGGTTCGTTATTTTTATAACATCATTTTGCATAATATTTCTATAATTTCCTTTTACTTTATAAGTTAATAGAAATCTCAAATAGTATTATAACGGACGAAGTCGCTGGCAACAGCTACTAATATTATAGTATAGTATGAAGTAAGATAAGATAACATAAATAAAATTAAAAAATAAATTCACAACTTGACAATTATGCATCTGCCGATAAAGATGTAATAAATGTCGATAAATACGAACCATAAATATCTTATCGTTTTTTTTACCCAAATTAAACGTAAAGCAAAGAGCAATTTAGATTTTGTGGCTACGAAAAATAAACTTATAACAAAATAACACAAAACCGCAACAACTTTGTAAGATGTACTATATTTGTATAGCAAATATTTACGTCCTTCACATTAATAGAAAATTACTTTAAGTGCTTATGTAATCACATCTTGGAAACATCAAAAGACAATCGTAATGTTTTTTTTTCCATAAAACCAGATTAAGATAATCTATTAATCACATTTAATCATGACCAATTTAAACTTAACAAATGACCATGTTGTCGACACAAAAAAAGTAAATTCATAAATATGCCTTACGCTAGTGGTTCCCAAAGTTCTTAGGGTCAATAAATAAAAATACAAATTGCCGATTTGAATCAAGTATGTACTATTAACTTAAAAATATATTTAATTTAGTGCCATTGTAAACTTTTCATCAGCTTATTGAACCAACCGAGGAGTTGAAACTTACTCAAGTTAAGAGTGATTACGCCATAGACAACCTCAATACTGCAGTTCAATTAGGTTAACTTCTTTACATTTGAATTTATCCATAACTAATGGTGCATCACGATGATTTCCTTTGTCGAATAAATGGCACATAACGGAGATCGAACATGGTACGCTTAGATTTCCTTCTGGTCCAGTCAGGTAGTAAACAACTACGCTACCGACGATCTAAAACTGAAATCTAGATAATATACTATATCTACTAGTTCACATTCATCATCATCATCATCAGCTCACTATACGTCCCCACCGAGAGGCTCGGAGCCTACCCTAAGTTAAGGGTGATTAGGCCATAGTCAACCACGCTGGCCAAGTGCGGGTTGGTTGACTTTACGCATATCTTTGAATTTCTTCTCAGATATGTGCGTTTTGCATCACGATGTTTTCCTTCACCGTAAGAACGTCGGATAAATGTACATATGTAAAGCGGAAATTCGAAAAACACATTGGTACATAGCGGGATTCAAACCCAGGACCTGCAGATTGCAAGTCAAGTGCTTGACCCCTGAGCCACCGACGATCTGTTCACATTATTGTGTTCAAATAGTTTGGATTACGATCCAAAGTTTGGGAAACTCTGACTTTGTCTTACAATATTACGACACCTTTGTGTAACCACCCTAAAGTTTTGGTAAACACCGTGCAGGAAACAACGATTATATTAAAAACGTGTTGTCTTTTAAAGGTCAAGCTGATTTTGTAACTTGTCTCCGAGGAATATGAACTTGTTTTTATAAATTACATACAAAAATAAAAAATTCGCGATATTTTTGCAATTTTTTAAATTTAAAAATAAAAAAGCTGTAATAGTAATATATTAAAGTATTATTAAACAAAAATTTATGAACTAAAACTAATCAATGTTATTTTAACAGCTTAAAACAATTTAGTAAAATTAAGAAAAAGGTTCTTGACAGACAGACGGAACCCTAAAAAATAAGCTTTCAGAATATCAGTATGTTCAACTTTTTTTTTTATATCATAAGGTGGCAAACGAGCGAGCGGCCACCTGAAATCGCTGAAATAGCGAAGCGACCGCTGCCCATAGACATACGCAATTGCATATGCGTTGCCTACCTTTAATCGTCGGAGGAGAGGATGCACAGAAAGAAAATATTTCACTTCGCTATTTCAGCGATTTCAGGTGGCTGCTCGCTCGTTTGCCACCTTATGATATAAAAAAAATACATATAATTAATCGAAGTTTAGTGTACATTTCTGATTACTTAATAGACACTAAGGGTCCTTTTGGGATCAAAGAGTGCGTCAGTAAGTCTTATGTAATACGTAAGTAATATTTATAAATAATAATTAAATTGACATGACATATTCAAACCGCATATTTGCTTGTCGTTTATCGCTAATCATTGTTATTGTAGCACAGGTCATTATCATACTAATATTATAAATACGAATGTTTGGATGTATAGATTGAATGGAATCTATTGGAAGGTATCACAAGAGTGTATGGAC